TAGACACCTATTTGCTAACAAATTAACACATCAACACCATATGATTGATACTCAAATGCCACATGTTAAACACATTGGGAATATGCGACTATCTACTTGTTACAAGGTTGATACCTTGACAACCATAATAATTAACACTCGACGTCACATGACATATATATCGATACGAAATAATTGATACTCCGATACCATGTGATCTCGACACCTCGATACCGTGTGCTCAAATACAATATGATATCATTTCTTAAGTGTTATAGTTACACCTATAGCTGCTCCAATAATACAATATAATCTAAGACAAAATACATAATCATGCCCAATATTAATATTAAAACATCTACAAGCATAACAAATTTAAAGCATACTATAAAAGACTCTTTAGGTGTGTTTTGTCAACTCTTTTAACCTCTTAATATATTCTACTCGAATTCATTATTTGATCAGCACCTCATAATCGATATTAATTTAAAATCAATATTAACTTAAGTATCGAAGGGATCTTATCAAGCCTCACACCTCTCTTGAATAATCACAAGACTTAGAAAAGGAGGATGAGGACTCTTACTACTTTTACAATACTTTTAACACCCAAAGACTTCAAGATATTGTTCACACTTTCATGTCTTTTCATGTAAAAAATGATAGAATATTTATAGGCCCCAATGGCTTCAGAATTGGAGCAAAAAAATATCACATATTTGGATTTCGGGATACTGGCGGTACCACTGCCTACAAACTAACACTGGATGGTACCACCGTCATTATTGGACGGTACCACCATCATTATTGGGCGATACCACCATTTGTAGATTGACACTGGGTGGTACCATCACTCAATTTGGGCGGTATGACTATTTAACAGAGCTCGAAGACCGAACTCGGACGGTACCACCGCCTGATAGAGTAATATCACTGCTTGACAGCATTAACTGTCGATGGTACCACCACCCAGACCACTTGGGAGATTGAGTCCCAAGCAGTGCCACCATCGCCCATGACTTATACTGAATGAGCTATTCAACCTACCAAATTCAACCCTATTAAGGGTTCAATTGGCTCCTAACTGAGTTAGTGGGATTATCTCCCAATCCTAACTCGGCTTATGGTCTAACTATGATAATTAAAATATTTAACTAAGTAATCTTGTCCGATATATGATTTGTTCTTGGAGTGAACTTCTCGATCTAACTTACAAACAAAGGTCACAATTGGCTGTGAGTCAAAGTCTTAGTGAAAATATTTACTAACGTTTTACCATTTTAAAACTCGAATGTATATATTAACTATGATTTGATTGTTAATTGAAACTAAATGATAAACAGGTAAAAGAAAAAACACCCTTTTTTATAATATCATCTTTAAAAACACTCGCTGTCATCAAACAGCAGTTCGTTTCCATTTTGCCCTCGTCTGGTCGTCGCATCATCCCCCGCCTCCCGAGGTTGCTTCCTCCCCTTGTCGCTTCACCAAAATTTTCTCTGTTTCTGCTATTCCTTTATCCATCTAATCGAGATCATTAATAGTTTCTGGATTATGAAGTGATTTATTGACTCCTTCCGCTGTTCATCACCTGATGCTTGATCTATTCAGAAAATAGATAGATCGATCGATTAAACCTTTTGTTCCTCTTTTTGATTATTTTTCCTACTTGCTTGTTTGAAACAAAACCTTCTGATATTGTTCGCATTGTATTGCTTGTTACGGGAAAATGTGTTTCTTGTGGTGCCGGCTACTTGTTCGGTTTTAGATGGTTGCGCCTCATCTTTTTAGCTTAGTGATTGTCTGGTAGTTTTCAAGCTTGGTCATGGTTGGATGATAATTCTGCTCAAGATATTGCAGTAAAGGCTAGAATAGGTACGGAAATTTCATGGAAGCTTGAACAAGTTGAGAAGCACGTAGGTTACTAATGGATCTGTGGGAATCAATATGACCTACCTGTTAATCCGAATCGCCTATCAACTGCGGGTCTCCATACTTGATTTGCGAAATTTGTTACTCAAGCCTATAACCATGTGTTGTGATCATACATATAACCTTTGTGATTGAAGTTTTTTTTATGATTATTCTTTTTATTAAGTATATTTTTATAATTATTTGTAAGGTAAACCTTTTGCTTTTGCTGACTTGATGTCTTGCAACGGCTAAAGCTTTTGGCAACACTAACAAAGATGAAACAGAAGAAATCTATTTTGTTATGGACTCCTGTTACCCTTTGCATTATGAATAATCTTGATAAGTATTTATGATCAATCAACTCTACTAACTAACAGGTGCAAGTGGTTGATGATTGCTTGCTAATTCTTGGTAGTTGCTACTTATGAAATGATGATCTTTTAGATAATGAAGCTTTCGACTTTAATATATGGATTTTTGTTACCATTTTTGTTCATTGCCATCAAATATCTCTAGCTGATGTTGTTCAGTTTCTTTTTTCATATTTTCTTTAGTCATTGAACCAAACTTAGCCATAGAGGATGGCAAAATTGGAGGAGATAGAGACAGAGGAGCACCAGAAGGCAATAATAATAAGCAAGAGGAAGAGGACGAAGAAGAAGTACAGCATCATCATCCCAACATACAATGAGCGTCTCAACATTGCCCTTGTCATCTACCTTGTCTTCAAACATCTCCAGTGTGCTCCCTTCTCTTTGCTTCTCTCTTTCTTTTTCAGTACGTGCTCTATAAAACCACTTTTTAGTTAACTGTAATATATTTTTTGAGATAGCATGATGAATCCATCGATCTATAAGATCAACTTGTCTATATATTCATTTGCAGTTCTTATATGCTTGTACAACTCTTGTATCATAATAGTTCCTTGTCATGATTGAATTGATAGATCATTCCATTTGCTTGGGTGATGGAGGAAATAGTTGCAGTTACTGGTCATGATGGATGACCTGTGAAGCATGGATTGGGACAATTGTACATATTAGATTGGTTGGAAAGTACAAAATCTGAAAGTTTTTTCTCAAGCAGTATTCTCACCATAGGGATCATCTGGTGTACATTAATGTACTTGACAGAGTTTATTATTTCACATTTTGTTTTTAATGAGATTCTTATATTGTGCTGGAATCCTGATAAATATCCATCCTCTGAAACTTTGTACAATGCCTTTTTGGTGAAGGATGAGAAAATGTCCACCTAATGCATACACAAATACAGGTAGATTCAAGCATTTTTTATTGCATAGCTTAGTTTTCTTAATATAAAAAATTTTGTTCTCTAAACATTCACTTGAGAATGTAGCTTAGTTTTTTTATTGCATAGCTTTATTTGTGAATAAATCACTTTGAATTTTTTGGTCATTCTCTCTCTTTATATTTTTGTCCAAAACAATTTATTTGTTATTTTGATTTTTTCATGTTTATTGTTTCAAAGTCATTAGAGTCCATCACCATAACCATGTCAATAGTTAATATGGATAGATTTATTTATTTACATTTATATTTTTGTTTTTATTTGCGAGAGACAACTTTATTATATTTGTCAGGCTCCATTAGCTGATCACAAAGACTCGAGCTATCTTTTGGTGTTTGCAATTAATCACTCAATTCTGGTCTGTGAAAATAATCTGGTGATCTTTTTAGGAAAGTAATACACAAAAGCTTTGACGATCTTTTTTATGTTTTTATCTAGATTTCCTGCACTTATGAACACTATGGTTGGCTTTTTAATTCTCTGGTCAACATCTTGTTCATGCATCATTATTTGTTTATTTAAATATTTCAAGCAAAATGTTCCCTGAATTTCTTCCAGGGATATTGATTTTGAAGTCGTTATAGTGGATGATGGAAGTCCTGATGGCACTCAAGATATCATAAAACAACTACAGAATGTGTATGGGGATGATCTCATTGTGAGTATAGTTTGATTAAGAAATTGGTAGTCCTTGGAGATTTTGGACTGTCTCCAATTTCTTACAAATTCTTTTTCCTGTTTGATAAAATATTGTCAGCTGTTACGAGCAAGGCCAAAGAAGCTAGGTCTAGGTATGAACTTTAACTTTTTTGTTTTAGGTGACAAATTGACACCTAGATCCTGAACTTGGGCAACGATGTTCAGGAACTGCTTATTATCATGGCCTTAAGCATGCATCTGGAGATTTCATAATAATCATGGATGCTGATCTGTCCCACCATGTATGTGCATGATTATTAAGAACATCTGGTGTTGACTTTCTGCAAATTTGCTGACAATTCCTCGCTTTATTGACCTAATGATTTATTTTCTTGTTTAACAGCCAAAATATTTGCCAAACTTCATCAGGTAGGGATTTTACATAGCATTTATTTTTTAACTTAAAAATATCTGTTAACTTTATTAATAATCTTATTTGATTGTGAAAAATCAGAATAGTAGTAGTTTTTACCTATAGAAAAAAAGAGATAAGCTTGTTTCGGTTCCTTTTGCATGCTGAGATAGACAGCTTTTCAACATCTAGAATATCTGATTTTAGGGCTTAACAATCATTTTATTTGTAGGTTAGCTTCACCAGGTCGACGGTTTTATTCCACAATTGTCATTAGATGCATAAACATAAACATCACAGACTTTATGTAAAAGCTTATAAGATTAAGGAAAGTTGGAGTTGTTATAATGAATTATTCAATAAAAAAGTTTGTGATTTGTTCTAAACTACAATTAGAAGTTGAATTATAGGCCGTTTGAAGAATTTAAGAAATATGCATAAAAAAGCAGTGTGCATCAAATGCAATCATAGTAACTTTTGTGTTAATAAATTTTGGTATATATAAAAAAAATTGTCTAAGGAATAAACATAACTAAAAACTGCCAGAATCTGGGATCAATTATTCAGCTTGGAGGATGATTGCAGAAGATATTGCACATAGCTAAAGACAAAGTGTAAAGGTACATACATTTCTCTGACTGACAGATATCATTTTGGTGTCTAGACACGACCTGCCATGGTTTATGGTTTAGAATGTCATGTTTTTGGGTAACAGCATATGCAAAAGATTGATACAGCTGATATGAGAATAACAAGATAAATGTGTAGTGTCAGAAGGAGAAGTTATCACAATCATGAGATGAGAAAAATTAAGGCACTTCTGACATTTTTAGAGAATTTTAAATGAACTGATAAATAGAACTTAGTTTATGGTTTAAGGGTACCATTAGATGTGGTAAGAGAGGAGGACAAGTGTTGCCCTTACAGTTGCTCCTTTGGGACTTAAATTACTAGGGTTCGAGTCATGGAAAGGTTTTTCTACTTGTACAGATAAAGCTGTGTACATTGAAACTCCACATAGCCCGCACTGGTGAGTATAGGCCGCTTTCTGGTATCACAAGAGGGTCAAAAATAATAAAGAAGACCAGGAAATAATAGCACTTTGTAAGGTTGTCATTATACTAGTCCTATTAGTGAATGTTGCCCTTAATAGAGATAAATGGCATACAAGCAAAATTCCAAATAGATGCTTCTTTTGATACTTAAATCATTTCTCAGAGAATAATGATTACTAATGACATTTTTAATGGTCACATTTCATAGAACAGTGTGCTAATTAAAAGTTATACTTTATTCCATATAGAACTAATTGTACATATCATGTTGTGTACGGGGTTATATATTTTATTACCTGAATATGCTACCTTAATGTCACAATGCTCGATCTTATTGTCTTATGCTTAAGCAGGAAGCAGATGGAAACTGGTGCAAGTATAGTTACCGGAACCCGCTATGTTCGAAATGGTGGCGTACATGGATGGAACCTTGTGCGTAAACTGACAAGTAGGGGGGCAAATGTACTTGCACAGACACTTCTATGGCCAGGCGTTTCAGATCTGACTGGATCTTTTAGGTTTTATTTTCCCCTTGTTTGGCATCTGTTGCAGCTATGTTTAAGCTTGATGCCTAATTCGTGCTATTACTTTTGGTAGGCTTTACGAGAGGACAGCTTTTGAAGATGTTGTAAGCTCATGTGTCAGCAAAGGGTATGTTTTTCAGATGGAAATGATTGTTAGAGCCAGCAGGAAGGGTTATCATATTGAAGCGGTAGGACGATCACTTTATTTTGTTGATGCAGTGAACTAGTGATGCTTTTGTAGTTTTTGCTTATGCATTTAGATCAATCAAGTTCTTTTTTGCAACTGTTGTGCTGTATTTCTCAATAAACCTAGTGTATTTTCTGAAGCTTTGTTTCGAATTATTTAATATTTTTGTTGTTTCATGTGCTGCAGGTTCCAATAACTTTTGTTGACAGGGTTTATGGAAGTTCAAAACTTGGTGGATCTGAAATAGTTGAATACCTTAAAGGCCTTTTTTACCTGTTGTTCACAACTTAATAGGAGGAACAGATACTGGAGTTTCCCCCTTTGCTGGTAACATTTTAGTTCATTTCTAATTTCCATGTGGAATAAATCAAGTGATTTTCAAATTATTATTGTTGAAAGCTACTGGTCTTTCAATTCGGTCAACTCACAATCTATGCTAAATAGTTCTATTCATTCTTTCTCTCAAATCAAAAATGGTTGTGGTTATTGGCTCTATAGCTCTTTTGATGCTTTGGTTGCAAACTATGTTCATCTGCACAGTAATCATTCCTTTAAGAGCAATTTAATCCTTTTAGTGAATTTTTTTCCCTAGCCAAGGATTTGTGTGATTTAACAAACAGAAGTCTTCATATTTGATGCCATTTTTTGTGTGCAAATGCATAAATAGCAGATGGGACTTCAGAATATATTCAAGAAAAGGTAGATTGGCTGCATGATATTGGCAACATATTAGAAATTTAGATTAGTTGCTCCTACGTTTGTATTGTGGAGAGGCTTTTTCATGAGATAAAACTACTTAATTAGCATGCTTTACCTGCACGATTGTGATTTGGTTTTCATGAGATAAACTACTTTGGTTCTGTAATATTGCTCATAGGTCAGCAGCATTATATTTATCGGACAAAAAGGTTACATGAACGGGAAGAACGAGGTGACAGAATTATATTAATTATTGCTCGAAAAGGTTAAATGAATATGATAGACAAGCAGAAGTGGTGCATAATGAGATTTATAACCTTATTTCGATGCGTATGCTATGTTGGCTGAGACAGAGCATTGGAGTTTCCAAAACCACAGCAAGGTGTGGAGTCTCCCAACAACCCTAATGTTCCAAGCCGCGCGCTCCAGCCGCTCGTCGGAATGCCCCAAAGAGAAGGCTTCTAAACCATCAGCCACCTACCTATTCGAGGTATCACGAACAGCACGACGATTCATAATCCAACAATAATTGGTGAATAGATCAGCCATCATAATCCATTGTTTGTTCGAAGGTAAAGGGAGAAGATAAGAGTTTGATCCTAGAATTTGCGATCGATAGTTCATGTATTTTCCACCAGCTAAGCTAGTTAATGTCTTCAAGTTTACCCGTGTGTGTGTGGCAGGCGCATTGATCTGATGACAATGTAAGATACCCGAGCGCGGTCATCGATGATTGATCTGAGAACGACAATGAGGTGTGCTACATGAACTCTCCTCCTTCCTGTAATAATAATAACTACGTATTATTCTTTATTTTCGTTCATTTGTGTGGTTCAATTTAAAGCTGCAAAGCGTTCCAGTAATACCAGTAATATTAGCTAATGTTTAACATGGAGATCTAAAAGTTGCTTAAAAATGTTGGTTGCTGAGTGTTTAGACTTCTAGTGGTATCCTAAGGAGATCTAAGAGCTGAAAATACGATTTTTTTCTTAAGGTAAATGCCGAAGTAGATCATTTTTTTTGGTTATTTATGCTTATTTAACCTGCTTAAATCTAATTAGAATAACCATCCTTGGAATGAGTAGAATGAAGCATATGGATTCAGCTCTGTGCATACAAGGGAATGAACTCAACAAGCCAGTGGCAGATGATCGACACAGTCATTAGGCTAACAGAATGAAATGTTCTGTTATTATTATCCAAGAAAAAGATATAGAAACTATTTTTTTTTTAAATAATTAATTGATTTTTCATGATGTCCACTCTAAATCTTAACCAGGTTAGCTTGATTATCATATCACTCTTGGAAAAAGAAATTGACAATAGGAGTTTGCACAAGAGATGAGGAGCAAAAACCTTCAATAGAAGTGCATTGAGCCCCTTTTTCTACAGATTGCTTTCATGTCACAGAACAACTGAGGTGAATTATAATAGTACAACATCAATATACCACACAGTTGAGGATAACTTATATACTGAACCAATTATAAGGAGACAAAAGAGAAAGCAGAAACCAGTAAAAGCACTCCAAATGAGGAATTTGTTCATACACCATGGCACATAATCATTACAGAAATATTGGAGGAATATGTTCCTCAGCAACCTAAAGTCATGGCCACCGGAATTAAACCTGAGACCTCCTATTAGAAGCATGTCATAAATCTGCTTATGGATGATAATATACAACATAGATAAAGAAAAAATGACCAGCTGCCACGATAATTCGAATAGCAACGACTACAAGGGGCGAAGTTACACAGACAGAGACCAGAAGTAATAGATAGATGATAATAGTGATTACTGGTCTGAGTCATTTTCAATTTCATCCTCACCTTCCAAAAGCCAGCGTTCCAGTTCATCCATTTCATCCTCTTCGTGGCTGTACCATCCACCCGAAGTGTCCAAAAAGCTCATCCCTAGCTCCTCACCACGGCATGCTATACGCAAGAAAGGTCGGCTTCTCGATAAAGCATCCACCATATCTCTGTTCAAGCTCCCTGTTACTCCCAGCCATCTCAATCTTGGGAAGTAAGGCTTCTTAAACCATCGAATGGCAAGTGGCGTGATGCCACCACACTCAAACATGTCTAGCACATACAAGCTACTTCCGGGAGTCCTGCCCTCAATTTGCATTGATGCTAAAGCCATAACCGAAGTATCTCCTATATGCGGACATTCTCTGATGCGAAGTTCAACAATTGGTATCCTACCTTTTGCTAGTGACAAAATGCCATTGTCTGTGAGATTGGGAAGCCTCGAGAGGTCCAAAACTTGCAGGCTTTGATTAACTGAACCACTAAATAATAATGATATGCCATTGTCTGTGATCCTTTTACACCCTCTAAGAGATAATGACACCAATGGACAACTGCCATGGCCCAGGTATGATAGTCCTAAATCACTGGTGTCAGTACCATCCAGCAATAATATTTGTAATTTAGGAAGATAGCTTAAAGCTTTTACAGCTTCATCACCTAGATTCCGGCAATCCCTCAGGTCAAGAACAATCAGCTGCTTGTTATTTGACAATCCCACAATCCCAAGATTGCTTAGGAGATTACACCACCGCAAGCTAACATGTGTCAGAGAAAGGGAAGTGGCAGAGATATCATGAAACACCAGATCAGTGAGTTGGCTCCCATGCGATACCCTGAACTTGCGAAGGTTAGAGCATGAGTGTATGATTGCCCTGAAGCCGGTATCTGTAACACGACAGAAACCTCCAAGACAGATACTCTCCAATGTAGAGCAAGCATCAGACATTAAAAGAATGCCTAGATCATTGACTCGGCGGAAGTAGGTGAACAAGAATTCTTGGCTACGTACAAGAGAAATGTGTTTCAGTTTACCATGTGGGTTGATCTGCTGAAGTCCAGCATTGGTGAGATCTGAAGTTACTATAGGTTCCATAATAGGAGCATCTTGAAGATCCAAAGAGGATAATGATGGAAGGCCCTTAGAAATAAAACCAACCAAGTGATCTGTGATGTAGTCAACCGAAAGGCATAGCATCTGAAGGCTAGGAAAGATAGGTGGTTTAACGGGGCGCAGGGACTGATGTGACTGCACTGTTGCACTCAGCAGTTCGATCAACATTGTCAGGGGTATATAACCAACCTCCAGAGAAGAGAGAGCTGTAGAGGCAGTCGCCCATACTTGGCCAAATTTAGGATTGTCAAATGAGGAGAAATCAAGTGCCAAGCTCAGAGACTAGCAAAAGTAAAAAAATATCTTAGACCATTTCAACAATAACATCTTGATAAGAAAAACATGACATATGGCAATGCACAAAATTAAGATTCCAACAATAATGGGATGCACAGCATCAAGCATTTTGTAAGAGTTAACTCCTCGTAGATAAGAAAAGCATGACATATGGATTGCCAAACAAGGAGAAATCAAGTGCCAAGCTCAGCGAGTAGCAAAAGTAAAAAAATATATCTTAGACCATTTCAACAGTAACATCTAGATAAGAAAAACATGACATATGGCAATGCACAAAATTAAGATTCCAACAATAATGGGATGCATGGCATCAAGCATTTTGTAAGAGTTAACTCCTTGTACGAGAACCTTCTGAGGTGATCATAAATTCTTATGCTATGCACATTTCTATTGAGACACTCAATGACAAGTATGGGAAAATGAATAAACCATTAACAGAATAGCAGTATATTCGAAGATCTCATGTATCATGTCAACTACAGGTCCAGTTCATAAACAAGTATCTGTAGGGTTCACTTTGAACATGCAACCTCAAAGATGAATATAAAGAAGATGAGGAAAAAGTCATGTTTATAACATTATGCTTGCACCTGAACTAGAAAGAAGATAATTACATCCTTCAAGCAGTCACCAATTGATTAATAAGTATAGCAGACCAAAACATCTCCAGATTGCCTCTAAGAGAGAATAGGTGTCATTGTTTACCAAACATGAACAAATGGCAATCACTGTTTCATCAATTAAAGATTATAATACTCTTCATTGAGTTACAAAGAGACAAATAAATAAGAATAACATAGTAGGTCCTTTACTCACTACATTTTAATACTCTTACAGTATTAAATACCAAAACTAAGCAACTTCTGTACAATCAGTTCAAATGCATGGTTTTTAATCAATCATATAGTATGAATCTTATAAGATCATACGAGAATGAAAAGGAACCAAGGAAGTGATTGGATCTAAAGTTCATGATGCATTCACTACCTAGCTACTCTCTCCGCTCAGTTCCTCTGGGATTCAGTATTCATCTTAAATTTTTAAATAGCTATTCGTCTTTTTTATCAAAGGAATTCATAGACTCTATCTGACATGCTATACATATATAATATCCTAAAAAAATATTGTAGTTTTTTCTATTCAAATATATCATACATGTATTAAAAATGCAAAATACTGGTGTGTCCTAAAGGAACTGAAACCTAACAATTTTTGCACAAGTCAAGCGGCATCGATCTTTCTTTAGATAAAGACAAGAAAGATAAAATCTATTCCAATATTCTTACAGAAGTTTGCACATTCAATAAGATGTTCCCTCGATTTTTCAAAAGTGAAGGATGATTAAATTTGATAATGCAGCCATGAAGAGTTTGGAGGGGGCAAAAATATAACTCAGATACAATGAGCTGCAGAGCAGTTTGACCTGACATTCAGTAGGTTTAGGGGCAGCAGAATGTAGAAAGCAGCAGTCAAGAGATTGCTTCTGTTGCACACAGGGTAAAAAGTGCAGATATGCAAGATTTCATCTGAGAACAGAAAAAAATGTATATTTTTTCTGTTGCAGTTTTTTAATAAACAGAAAAGAAAAGAATATTGGGGTTCAGAGTAGAATAATAAAAAATGAAAAAATAGTACTATCGCCTTCCAGTTAAATGAACAGAAATGGATCAATTTACGCCAGTTTTAACCCATGAAGTCCAGACACATGATTCAATGAGTCACTGGGTTGAGGCCTCATGCATAGTATGATGAAAGTTGAGCTAAATGGAAATTTAAAATTGATCTCAAAAGAATGAAAATTTACCATAGATGAAATGCAAAGTAGAAGATTTACCTGGAATATTTACTAACTTCATAAATTAATTAACTGCACAACTTGAGTCATGATACTGTAACTTATCTCTAATAATATGGTTGCAATTGTTACAACTTATCTCTCCCTCTCTGGTAATAGTTGGTAAGTTAGTTATTAGACAAAGCAGAACAAAATCTGGATAAGGAAGATCATAAAAAGGAGCATATCCTTTACAGTTGCGAAATTTGAAAAGATACTGAAACCAGAATAGTCAAACCGATATGACTGCAATTATGGTAGTTATGCCTACATAAATGTTTTAGAATTTGGTATTTCTTAGTTTACTTAGCCTTGTTGATTCTGCCTCTCTTGTTTTAGGGTCAACTGTTATACAGACCATGCACTGTCCTGGTCATGTTTCGGTTCACTTGGCTACATCCATCATCTATCTATGGTGTTCTGTTGCTTCTGTTATCAACTTGGAGATCCACTGAAGATACTAGCCATGAATCGCCTAATATTGTCACCACTTTATGTAACAATACATCTGTTCCTGCTATGATTCTCCTCTTGTAAGAGAAGCTAACAGCATGAAGTGCTAGCAAGAGATGGATGATTACTACAAATAAGAAAGGATCGACAACCTTGGTGCCCTTATCAACATGACTGATCCACCAACCAATAATCATCCCTGAATTAGTTGAAGCAAAATGGAATTTATTGTTTCAAAAAGCATAATCAAATATTTAGCTCACCAACTGAAAGATGTATAACCAGTAAAGCTGGAGGACATACCATAATATGCTAATCCTAAAATGCTGTAGCTTTCCAACCCATACCATGCATCAAACAAAATGAAAATATTAATAAAGGGAAGAATGACCTTATTCCCTATAAGGACAACAACAAGAAGAAAAACAGAATCCCAATAACTCACAAACATTAAAGACAATATACTAGGTCCAAGGTGATATTAAAACTTGTGGACACTGAACTACCTAGATCCTCCCTCAATGAAATCAAAATGTGATATGAAACGAAGGTTAACAAGTCTCCTCAGTGATTGTATTACAGGCTGGTCATTGAACACTAATTGCTGTTCTCTTGGCCAATGTTTCAAACTTGATACAATTTCTTGTTGAAATCAAGAGCAACATTTCTCTCCTATCTACATTCTTTCATCAACTAAATTTATTGAAGCCAATCTGTGATGTCTATCAAGAAGCCTGATCTCTCATAAGCAGATCTAGCATTTGTGTGGAAGGCATGCCTTTCTTTTATACCATTTTGTGAGATAAGATCCTTATCAAAAATTACTTCAACTGAATACTCTGAACTAAAAAATTATCAAGAATTACATTTATCATTCATAACAAAGTTTACTTCAACTGAATATTCTAAACTCACCTCTAACTGAGAACAACCAGTAAGCAGTTCCTCTAGATCAGTAAAAACAATTGAGAGGCCTCTACGTTCAGCTAGAGAGCTCAAAGAGAGAGACCTGTCAAAAGGACATTCAATTCCACTAAAAATACAGGAGTCACAATTAACAACCAAGTAGCATTATCACATCACTGAATGTCAAAAATAAATACGAATACTTATCATACTTTTTTCATCAATAAAGGAAATTTAGAATAATCAAACTGTTAAGCTTTGGAAAGGATGATGCCTCATAAACTATATCTCAGATAGTGACATTCCAAGCATATGGTGTTATCAGCATTTTGCAATCGACATCATCAAACACGAAAGAAAAAACATCCAATTTGCATAAGATATGTATATTATAGCTTTAAAGGAGATTGTAGAATTTAGTCATGTGTTGGTGTTTAATGGTGATCTTCATTGTCAGGCAAGATACATGCAATAGTCAAAACGTATGACCGAGGATAAAGAATCAGGGGGTACTGCAACATGGACATGACAATTATCATATTTACATGTGGTAGCTCATACACTTCAACAGTAGCATTCTCCATTACCAGGAAGAGGTACAGGGGTTTCAAATAGTCCATGCTATACATAAAAATAATGGATTTTTGCATGAAAGATTATACATAAAAGAGTAACTCTAACTGCAAATAGGTAAGAAGCTAAGGACACCACCCAAATCTGTGCATTCACCTTTCATATCTGTGTACTCCTACCTCGTTTATGATTGAGCAGTCCTATAGGGACCTCAGCAGGTGATTTGGGTTGTTCCCTCTTGATGATAAAGCTTATCCACACATCCCTCATCATATCAATAGCAGACCTCAATCCCCATTTGCATACCAAATGTCTCCCAAATGTCAAATATGGCATGTGATACATTTGTATCTCACTTCAAAATGGCAAATTATATTGTCCAAGTTTAATGCACAGGACACCATACCAATACCTGAACTTTGTGAAAAATGTCTCTGTATATATGACATTGTTTAGCCATAAATTCAGAATCAAGCTGCAAAGGTCCACATTGAATTGATATATCACAGTCAAAACTGGTGGTTCAGACCTACCAATCTAGGAGCTAGGAATCATGATTTTGTGATCATCAAACACATTTAGAATGAATGAACTACTAAACCATGTTAGGGGTAATTTAAGAGAAAAGTATTCCCCTATTCCTTTTTCCTGTCCAACCAGGATTTCGATGTTAGTCCTAATGGATCTGATATACCTTAACACAAAATAAAACATCTAAGGTATCATCAGATCCAAAGAATGTAAACTGCAAAGAGAAGATATTCTTCAAAATTTGTATTCTAGCACTTCAACACATATAATTCTGTGTTAAGCAAACACCCCAAGAAATTTCTATAGTTAAGAATAAAACTTAAACAAAAGCATATATGCCACTGAGAGACGTACTTATGCAATATCAGATTAGCAAGTTTTTAACATACATACTCCAGTAAAGGCATATGTGGAATGGAAGAAAACAGCAAATTTTATGAGAGACTAAATATCATGCATGTGTATTCAAGTATAGATAAGAGAAAGAAATGTGCAAATATAGCAATATTGAGGAAGCAAAAATAGGAATATTTAGTAGTGATTATGCCTTGAAACCAAGATAGATATTGCAAAAGCAAACCATTGTGATCATGTGATGACTATGATGAGATAGATGATAGAGCCAAAACAAAATATATGAAAGAAAAAGAGAACAGGAGGAAGAAAACATGGAAGAAAGAGGATAAGTTAAGATCTTAGATCATCCATTTTTCATTTGTCCTTTTTCTATTATATTTTTGTAGTATATACAAAGAGAGAATGTGGTGTCATCTAATGATGTGCTTCTGTTTGCCAAATATCAGCCAACCTAAGTAATATGTGCAAGTACATCAAAATGAACAGTTAAAAAAGGAATACAATGGCTTTAATCTATGACTAAAAACTGTAAGAAATCAGGCAAGTGTCATTTAAGAGCAACACACATATTAGGCTGAATTTCCAGGAAGTTCAAAGCCAAAAAAGAAGGGAAGAGCATTCCATTCAATCAATATCTTCAACAGTTATAACAAAGGAGATCGCAGGGCTCTTCATATTTAGTAACAAATAAAGATGCTGATGTCTAGCTGTTGCAGTAAGAGGATTAGAACGTTCAAAACCAAGAAAAGGGAAGAGCATTCCATCCAATCAATATTCTCAGCAGTTACAAGAGGAGATTGCAGGGCTCTTAATATTTTTAACAATAAAGATGCTGATGGTTAGCTGTTCCAGAAAGAGGATTAGGATTAGGTTTAGTAAGTCCAGTTAAGTTTAGAAATAAGAAAAGACAATGTCTTGCATGTGGCTTGGATCAATTAAAAAATATAAAATAATATAATATATACAATTAAAAATACAAGAACAGTTAGTCATTAACCACAGTTATTCTTAGTTGTTTAGCCCATAAGCAAAACTAATTTACAGATTTCAATATAATTGACCCCTGATCTGCATGCAATTGTTTTCTGTTCATTTCTAGACGTCTGTTCATCTTCTTGTGGTTGTTCTGTAATACAACAGCTTATTCTTTGCTGATCTCAGAGTTGCAATCTCTAATCTGTCGCATCTGGCACTACCATCTCTATCATAGCCTTTAAAATCAGCCAGATCAGCATCATCTACTAATGTAAGTTCTGCAGAAAAGTTAACCATTTTTTGAACACCATGGGTTATTGTCGCTAGTATCAAGCTTAGGTGAAAACCCCACAGGAAGGCCAACGAAGTATATGTTCTTAGAAACTAAGATTCATATGGTTAATTATAGATTTTGGAAATTTTGACCACCTGTATTGCCTGTGATCCTAAGATCAATAAATGCCATAACAAAGATTATCTTGCTTCCTGAAAAGGCAAAAAATCTAATGGTAGATCATGAGGTTGGATTTTTAACTGTCACCAATCTTTACATGCAAAAACTAGTGGAAAATAATCATTTCAAAGAAGAATTTTTTCTAAAACCAAAAGCCAACTTCAATTTTTATTTCTTTTGTTTTTGGTTGATCGTGGCGCAACTATTACCTGAGATCCCGGCACTTGCCACCGACCTCGGAGAGAATCCTTCCGCTCAGATTCTCGCAATTATGGAGACAGAGCTCGTGGAGCGATGGCCTGGTGAGGAACCCGATCGACGAATCATCGAGGCGGCTGCAATCCAGCTTCAAGCTCTTGAGGTACGGATTCGGCGGCAGCAGCGGCCTCAGCAGATCCAGGGTTGGCGCGATCTCCTGTACCCAAACCCCCAAACAAGGATTAATCAAAGCCAAGCGTGAAGGGAAAAAAGAAATTGAAGTACGTGGGTTACGATTATACGAGGAGGTGAAAGGAGGGGAGGAAGGAAAGGGCGTGGGAGGCGACGGAGCGGAGGGAGCTGCAGGTGGCTGCGGCAGAGCAGAGGGAGCGAGGATCGAGGCGGGATAGTACGGAGGCGAGGACCGCGGAGGGGAGGTAGTGCTCGATACCCGGCAACGGATCCGGGGGATCTCCTCCTCCTTCAGCGCCTCGGCCATAGAGGACACCGGCGTCGCCGGCCATCGAGAACCCGTTTGTGGATCGCGAGCAGCGAACTCGGACGAGTCAGGCGGGCCCGTCGGTGGGCTCGGGGCTTTCGTCTTCTATATGCAATCATGACAAGATCGGCGTGAACGTTACCATTAGCACGGCAAATCAAACTCTTTTATGTATTTTAAAAGAAGTCCGTGCATGCTGCGTAAGTAAAGCCTTTAATTGGATTTAGGACAAAATAAATAAAAAGGTAAAGTAAAATTAAAAGATATTTATTTAAGCTGGATTATGATATTGAATTTAGCTACTCAGGTATTAACCCTAAGAATAAAATTAAGGTATTATATTGCCTTCTTGATATTGATTTTGTTGTACATATATGCGTGTTATATTAAAATTTGAAGAAGTGTATATAATACTTAGAAATATTTATAGGATAAATATATGGACAAACTCCATTTTGGCTTTCGTGTATATAATTTTGTGCAACAAGGTGGATAAGGATGAATATGTGCATTGTTGGACAGGCCCTTATAACGGGACATATAAATATATATATCGATCATAACAGTTAGGATGTAACGTTTGTGTCGGGGTTAATAACGGACCCTTAAATACCTCGTGGGTACCTCAGTTTCCCATCTGTCGATCTCATCGCCGCGAAAGAAACCTATACCGGAGATTTGGTCCTCCGACCTCCCTCGCTCCTCTGTTCTCCCTTGCTCGCCATGGTACTTACTGTTTCTCACCCTCTCTTCTCTCTATCGTCTGCCTCTCTTTCTCTCACCTTATTTACTCTTTCTCTCTTGTTCGGTTCCTTTTACAGGTGGATTCTCCGCGCAGGAGGTAAAACCCTAGATCCCATATCAGCTCCTGTTCTCGATTTCTTTTCTGAGCTTTCTTTCTTAGTGACCGCTCTCGTTTTTTTCCGTTGACGTTGTTTCCACCCGTTTAATTTCGTTAAATCGGGTGAAAACCCTAATTGCCAATTTGGATGTTGATTTGAGTCGATATCAGACTAATAATGCCTTTTGTAAATGTTTTCCTAAATTTTGTTTTTTTTTTTCGTTTTCTTCTTTGAATAAGCTGGTCAATCATTTGCTTGATCTTTATAATTTACGAGTTCAGAGGGATATTAAGAAGTTGGGTAGAGAATACATCTTTCCAGTGATAAATAAATGCATACATGTGTATATTTATGTATGTATGTATGTACGTACGTACGTATGTATGTATGTATTCACAATCCTGATGAGTTTTTTGCTAATTTATTTGCCTAAATATGAATCAGCCACAAGTGAAGCTGTTTTTCAATTATTTTTTGCCGATTATGCCTGTACAGGAGATCCTTCAGTGGATTATGTTTCTTTGGAGGATAATTAAATTGTAATCCCTATGAAGACACTGGATTTATCTGCGGCAGCTTATTTTATGTTCTTTGGGACTTGGATTTTCTTTAGCATTGAATAAGATGTTGGACCCACAATGTACCGTACAAGGTTTTAAGGATCGTTGTTTTGGGGAACCGTTTCAATGATCTGGTCAGATAGGTACATATCAATCATTTCTGGTACACTGGTGCGTATCGGTGTTTCATAAAGGAAGAAAAATAGGGAGAAGAGGAAGGGGCAGTGGAGGAACAAGAGGAGGAAGAGGAAGGAAGAAGGAGAGGTAGCAGAGGAAGAGGAGGAAGAAGGAAGAAGGGGAAGCAATGGGGGAGGAGGAAGAAAAAAGTGGTGGAGGAAGAGGAAGAAGACAGAGCAGTGGAGGAGGAGAATCAAGATTTTTATATATGATTTGGATCAGATTGCCCAAAACAGGAGTCGTCTGTGTGCCGATCCACACTCAGACTGGTATATACTGCCTGTTTTGTACCATTTCAGGTGGTATGGCGGTTTTTGGTTTGAAGTTCCAGTTCTGATGCTCGTACCAGAATGACAAGTCTTGTTGAACATTTTGCACCAGCCAGTACTGTTTGATATGCCTTGGCACACCTAGCAAAAGGGATGTTGAAAATTTGTTTGTATGTTGATATTGACTGGTGTGGTCGTATATTGATGTGCCATTATGGTACTGTACTAGTATTTGAAACTATGGTTAGTCATGGAACTCTTTCGTGTCGGTTTCACTCTCATTGTGTTCTTAGTTTCATGTTATAGGTTAATTAAGGAGTTCATTCTTTAGTTTCTGAAACCTAGATGTTTTTATCCTTGTAAAACACTATCTTACTCCTTACAATTGGGTGGGTAAATATCATATGCTTCCCTTGATGATTAAAATCCAAATAAGCATGTTTCGGTTCAGGTGTAATGGAAAAAACCATTTCATGCTAATTCAATTATAGGAAGATCATCATTGAATCTTTATTATTAGTTTTTCTTTATATTGGTCAATGGATAAGATCACAAGACGAATATGTTCTTGAATTGACTACTAAAAAGCACACCATTTAAGATTTGATGTAGTTGAGATCATGTTTTTAAATGTTAGTCCAATGCCAGTTCTGACACACTGTAGGACTGGTACGATAACTGACATACCAGGTGTTATGCTGATCTCTACCACTTGGTATTATTGAAAAATAAAAATATCAATCAGTTCCATGCCACATGGTTTAGTCTAGGTCCTTGGTTGGATAAGGAAGTTCTGGTCAGTATATATCGGCTGGATGAGTATTAGGAACCATAGTTGAGATTGTGCAAGAATGAACCTAATTAAGAGTGATGATACAAGCAAATGACCTTATCTCTTTTGGAATGATGATACAACCTCAACCTATGGTGTTAGACTCACATCATCGTATATCAGTTTTTATTTTGTTTGGGCAAGTCATAAGCATGTGGATGTAAAAGAAAAGGCAGTAGAAAAAAAGACTACAGAAGGAATACAGGTTAAAAGCAGGATGAAGGGGTCGATAGAAATGGACAATAAGAGGAAGGAGATTGTCATGGCTGAAAAACCAAGAAAGCTTAAGAGTTTTGCTACTCGAAATATCTCTTAAATAATTCCTTAAAGTCAAGAAGAATCTATAAATTTTATTTTTTGTTTTTTTTTCTGAAATCCTTCCTTGCATTTAAACCTTTTGAAACTCGATATTTAATGACTTAATGACTCTTATAAACCAATCTATACCAAAAACGGAACATAAGATGAAGAATTTTTCCTAGAAATACAACACTGAAGGCTCTATAATGTAATGAGTAAAAATAAGGACTAAAATTCATCCCGAAGTTATTTGAAGATAGGGAATCTTAATCTAACAATTTTAGCCTAACTCAGAGTTTAAACAACATGTTATCTATGAATTTGATCTCTATGTTCGTCAAAACAAACACACTTCAAATACATTTTTTCAGTGTTTTGTAAGCAAAAGATTGGTTTGGTTGCTATGGAAATTCTTATGTTGTGTATCTTTAGGATGTGCAAGTTGATTGATATCAGCTTGTGCAACACTATAAAGTGGTAATGCAGTAGCTGTTATTTCTATCCTTTTTAATTCTTTGGATATTGTTATGTTGCATATTTTAATATTTTCTGGACCATCTCCAATCCATATGATAATCTGGTCATTAATCTAACTATTGGTACAATATTATCATGGACAAAGATTATGCAATTATTAATAGCTGATGAATGAAATTAAATTTAGAAAAAAGAGTGAATTTTCCTAAAACTTTTCGAAAAAACTTAGAAAGCCACAACCATTAGGTGAAATGCTAATAGCTGACAAATGGAATCAAATTATTAGATCTACCTGTCCCATATTTTGATTTTATTGCAAGGGTTAGTTAGGGAAATCTATTTCTGAGATGTTTTTACAATTTACCGAAAGTTTGACATTGTCAAAGAAAAATTAGAAGATCGCCTATTAATTTGTCAAACACTACCAGTTAATCATGTTCAGTAAATTAGCCTTTCTAACTTTTAGCAATGATCTAACCAGTGAGTTCTTTTTGCTATGTAAGAATCCAGTTATGTCAAAATGACTCCAGTGCTTATCTACAGATAAGATATGTGGCCACTTGGTAGCATGCTTAGATGGTTGATAGTAAAAGATTCCACCTGAAATGTCGATTTATGGCACAGTTGGAGAGATGGTGTCTCTGGATTGAAGCAACACTTGGTAGAACAATATCCAATGAGTACACAAGATTGCCATTCTAGATCCAACTGCAATCAGGACTTAACTTAGATTCAATAAAAGATGACAACGTAGCAAGGGGTACTTAACAAAGCAGAATTGGACATACAAGCATCTTAATATCTTGCCATTGGGATTATGAAGATCAGGGTGTTGATGTTGGTCCAGAGATTGCTGGTGGTCATTACAGCATGCTTAGACAAAACATAACAATTGTGGTTGTTTATGTTTTTTTGTAGATTATAAATAATGTATGTTTTATACTATTTATGAAGTTATTTTTTGTTGAATCAAGTTATATTGTTTACTTGGATGTTTGATGTATTGATTGGCTAATTGTGACCTAAAATTCATCAAACAAACAATATGAATCACAAACACTATTCTCTTATTAACAACAGTTGTGATTATGGTGCTTCACAGGGGAGGTGAATCCCTACCCACTATAGGATTCTGAGGAATCAAGTGGTCCTATATGCCTCCCTAAATTAGGTGGCATGTATGGTGTCAACTCATTCATTACATCAATTATCAGCGGCATTGATTTGAAATGTTTCATAGGGTAGAAGTAGAACAAGGTGGAGCAAAAGGGCTTGCATGGTATTTCAATTTGACAATAGGATTAGGAACTTTTAGGGCCATTTTGATCCAGACAATAAATTCATGTCTGTTAAATTATTGGATCGTGACAATATTGGTAACACCTAAGTTAAGTTTGAAAACCAAAAAAACAATAGCTTTTGAACTAGTTGAACATATGCTTTTATGTAGAACCTTCTATTTTCAGCAAAAGCATGTTATTATTCATGCTCAATGCAAAAAAGAAAAAAGAAGTTTCTTGATATTCATGTGTTGCTTGGATGCCTTATTTTAAGATGATCTCAATGGCTATAATCTGATGCTAAAGCTTTTTGGTGTGAAATAGTTGATATTTGACCATTTTTTCTTTTGCAATGCCAGATATTCACAAGAGTATAAATAAGCTCCTTGTGGTTTTTCTAGTCAAGACACAGGTTTTTTTCCTTCGGTTATTCACTAGAATAGTTGATCAAGGTTTATGCACTAATATGGTTATGCCAGTTCTGACACATATTGAATACACTTTATGTGGTGTATCTGATCCTTTACAAGATTTGCAGGTTCTACACTATGCTTCATCATTTACCCATAGTTTTGGAACTAAATTGAAATTTTGATGCTGCACCAGATAGGCCTTTATTTGACCTTTTCCTTATTATAGAAGTATAAGGCCTTGGTTTTCAATGGCTGTTTCATTAATACTTGAATTTATCTCTTTGGAGACATCCGATGAAATTGAAACGATAATTTATCTCATTTTTAGTTTCTCAGGTTTTCTACTTGATAGGGTTTTAATTGACACATAGGAAGAGAATAAGATGCTCATGCAGATCTTTATTCTCTAGAGACAGACAGCACTATTTAGTTAGCAGTCAGTGGCCCATATGTATGGAAAAGAAGGCAAAGCTAGGAAAGAGAGGTGGATGGAGGGAGGGACAAGAAAGAGGGTGCTTTGTTTTATCATGATTTCATGAACATTCTGGGGCTTTTGTGTTCATTGTATCTGAGCTGGGCTGCATATTTCTTTAAGTGGATAAAATTATTCTGTTGGTGGAAATAATTGGTATGTTGTCCTACATTTTTAATACAGCCAGTTGATGATTTGAACTTTTGATGTTTATTCTCTTTGGCTATTCATCTAACATATGTGTAACAATTTCTTAACCTGCCTGGATTTCTGATACTTTGTTTCCCATTTTTTAACAGTTTTGTTGCTATTGAAACTGCTCTCATGACATGGAATTTGACATGTTCTCTTGCAATGACTGATTTAATGTTCTCTACCAAAAGGCTCTTACTAATAACTGAACCAACTTATTCGAGGCCTCAATTCTTTTTTGGTTCTTAATGAAACTATTTAGATACTTATAATTCCCTTTTTTGACAGAGAACGTTATAGGTCAAGGTCACCGCCCAGGTCTAGATCTAGGGGTCGGTCTCAATCTAGGTCTCAATCTCCTATTCACAGATCTCGATCTCGATCAAGAAGCCGTGACAGGTTACATTGCCTGCTTTTTAAATACAGTAAAATTAAGGGTTCCGTTTTGAGTATTCCTTGTTAGATTCTAATAGAAAGACAACGTTATGTGGCAGGCCTAATGCAACAAATCCTGGAAATACACTATATGTGACGGGTCTGTCCAGTAGAGTCACAGAAAGGGACCTTGAGAGTCACTTCTCAAGGGAGGGAAAGGTGTGTTGTGAATGAAACTCTATTTGTCAGTTTTAGATGGAATTGACTTCTATTGTTTCTCAGGTGTCTGAATGTTATTTAATTGTCGAACCACGTACACGTGTTTCTCGAGGATTTGCATTTGTCACGATGGATACAGTTGAAGGTGCTGATCGTTGCATCAAATATCTCAATCAGTCAGTTTTGGAGGGCCGATATATCACTGTTGAGAAGGTAAAGTAATGCAACACTGTGCCAAGACATGATGATATGATAGAAAGATGCTTTGTTCTGCTTTATCTGTTTTCTGTTTTTGACTTGGAGGTTCTTGGTCGTATCCAGAAGACAATACAATCAGCCCTGTTGCAGCATTCAAGATGATGAGTTCATCCTTTCAATTTTAGTCATACAGCTTGATGAATGGCCAGCCTAACAGTTTTTCCATGCATCACATCAACTAATTAGCTTTCACCCTCAACTATCTCAGCAACTAAATCAATGGACAGTACCAACTCTTAATCGGGCATTATGGTACCTTGCACCTGGCATTCATCTAATGATGCTGCTAGTCATATGCCTTGATGTGGTTGTTTATCTAACCTTATTTATTGTTGGTTTATTTTGCCTTCCACAGCCAGTTTTGTCCATACATGTCACATATTGATGTCATTTACTAAGAGAATGTTTCTGTTTTGCTGCTTTTTTTCATTCTCTTTGTCTGAAGTATGCAGCTTCATACACTTTTGGAGAATGTAAATTTGGAGGAAACATGTGAAAGTTCATGTTTTCTTTTTTCTTTCAGTCGAGGAGGAAAAGGGCACGAACACCTACACCTGGAAACTACCTTGGGTTGAAGAACCCCCGAGATACCAGTGAGCTTTTTCTTAAGAATCTTTACCGCTCTGATTGATCATGAACCATAACATGCGGATCCCGTAACTCATTCTTCTCATTGACCGGTGAATCCCTAACTGTCCTTTTCCATTCACTTCACTAGTTTCTTGTGTTTTGGCAGTTCGCTTTGATCGTGGAAGGTATCGTGGAGGCCATAGTCGTGATGATTATGATGGTGGGTACCGTAGATCTCCAAGGCACTCACCCTATCGAGGTGGTCGTGATTATTCTCCCCATCGGTCACCATATGGTGGTCGGCCAAGAAGGGATCGGTCAAGGTCTCCTCGTCGTTCTCCAGATAGGGGCTATGGCCGTCGTGCAAATGGATATGCCAGGTAAACATGATGTGGGTTATATATTATGATTAGGATCTGCAACTGTTTTTATATTCTTGACTAATTGTGGTGTAACTGAGGAGTCTCATACTCTGTAGTTCTCCATAACCTATGGGTGTGTCTTATAGCTAGATTAACCCTGAAAATGGGCTTTCTTGGCTGGTAATTAATGTCCGTGATGTGAACTCTTTTGCCGAATAGACAGGTGATTGTTGATGTTTTATTTACTATGCATTACTTGTTTGCATGACCTAAAATTTAGTGAGATGGTCGGGTCAGTGGAACCTGGTGGATCCTGATCTACATTTTGTACTGCACCAGTGAAGTGCACTAGACCAAGATCTGCTACCCTGCTTAGTGGTTGAACATATCTCAAGGGCTGATGTCTTAATGGACAGTCCTACTGCACCATCTGAATTAGATGCCTTCTATTTGCGATCTGCCAATTTCCTGACATAAAGGCCGTTGAACTGACGCTAGCAATCCACCGAAGACGATGGAATTCTTAGACTGGAAGCTGACGCTGAATCTGAAGGTATCAACTCACCAGTTTCAAATATGTGCTTGATTGCTGAATGACTCTCCTTGATGAATGATCCATTTTGTGGTTAGTGTCGGTGGTCCTCTGTTAGCTTAGCCCCTCTTCTCTTATTGTTGCTCAATATTTGTTTGGCCCAAGTGATTGTCTTTTTAGTCAGGTCTCATCGGTCAATGATATATTAACTGCCATCTCCTACCTTTCATTAGTTTGTTTCTTGTCTGTCGATGTCTACATTCATTTGCAACAGAACTATGAACTCTCGTTTTTATTTGGACTCAGTATATTGAAGTAGCTGATTTCATTTGAAACTGTGAAAAATGTGCTGATATTACTATACCAACATATAGGCTGCATACTTTGGAGACTATCGTCTTTCTTCAAAACCTTTCATGTTGGCCAAAAAAAGGTGTTTTTGTCACCTTTCTGTGAGAAACCCACAGTCAGTGACCAATTTCTATCTGTCTGATTTTGACATGGCTAACAGACGCTTAATATGTACGGCTGCTCTTGGGCAATCAGTTTACCCCCAACAATTCATGACGAGCCTTCACGGTTTCAGAGGTCCGGCAAGCGTGTTGTACTTCGATAGGATTTCCAAGAACACGGCAATGGTATGTTTTGCTTTGTCTGGTTTACGTCCATGTTGGCCTGCACTTGTTCCTTGTGATGGGGGCGAGGGAGGTCAAGCGGAAGTGGGCGGAGAACCTGAAGCACAAATACAAGCATTCGACCTTCTTCCGTCGCCCGTACGAGAACTCATCTTGTTTTCTCTATGTGGTCAAACATTATCAGAGCATAATCTTTCTTAGGAGGAGAAAAGTGTTTGAGATCCAATTATTATTGCGCATTCATATCCCAACCCACGCAATGCTTGCGGAAGAAAACACATGCCACGGTCCTCCGCCCGCGGGTCCCGGCTGTGCCATGTGACGTCAGTCGGCGATGGGTCTTCCGTCTGCGAGCCAACGCTACGTGTTCCGACGTGGACACCCAACGAGTTGATTGGTTGCACAGAGATTCCGGGCGAGGTGTGATTTGAGCAAATCGCTCGGAAGCACGGATTCCACATGCAACGACCGCTGCTGCTGTTCTGTCGCAGTCATACGTCGCTATCAACCAAGACACAGGTCCACCACGTTGTTAACAAGCAGGTGATTCGTGTCCTTGCGTCTGTTTGGCAATTCAATCCACTCCTAGCCGCCTCTGGATAGAGGCTAACACGTGTGGACACGGCAAGAATGTCGCAGGGGACGCGTTCACAGCCGGCAGTGCGAGGCATGTGATGTAGGGCGGCGGTGTTCCCTGTTCTCCGTCGCCATCACAAGTTATACGGCCCGCAGATTCCCTCGCAACTACAGGTAGCTTTGAGCTGTCCTTCAACCCTTATATATATACGCTGAAACCCTCTCGCCCAGGATCAGAGTGCGTTGCTTGGCGATAGAAGAAGAGATGCCGAGGACAGATGGTCGTTTCCTGCCGTCGATGTGCCCGAGAATTGGGAGCGTCGTCGCTCGGGAAGACGAGAGCGGCGGGGTCCAGGTCAAGGTCGTGGTGACCAAGAAGCAGCTGAAGCAGATGGTGGCGGCGATGGGGCAGGAGCGGAGCGCCCGTGCTGCTGGTCATCGACTGGCGGCGTCGCCGACCATGGAGCAGGTTCTGCGCTCCCTCCGCAGGCGGCACATGAAAAGAGGCGAGAAGGGTCAGTGTCGGAGCCGGTGGCGGCCGGAGCTTCAAAGCATACCGGAAGAGATTTAGGATAAGCAGCGGATTTCCTTCTGCTACTACATGATGATAGTGGCTCTGTAGCTTCGTAGCTTTGTTAGTTCTTGTGTCGGGGAGATGAAATTTTGATCGCAAATCATGCACTGTAGTCAAAATCTCGTTAGATCTTTCCTTGCCACGTCAGAATAGAAAATTCTCGAGTTTCTTCTGGGCATTACCTTCAAATTAGAATTATTTTATAGTTAATCCTAAATTAGAGTTCTTACATAAAATCATCTCTGATTTGTAATTCTGATTTCTTGGATAGATTGTAAATGAGGTCGTGTACGGTATTATTTGGATATTTTTGTCAATTTAAAGAAAAGGGGAGAATAATACCAGTGATACGATTTAATTAGATCATTCGATCTAAATCAACTTATTTTTTTATTTTAAATTTAATTATAATTACCACAAAAAAAAAGATGACATACTCCAATTTACATATAATAAAAATATCATCTTCCAGTTGAGAAAATTATTTTGTATTTCATTCTATTACGAAAAGCCACATTCCCAAGGACAATAATAAGACCATTTAAGATGGAAAAGGAGGTTTATTTGAAGTTAAAATCACAAATTATTTCAAGATAAAAAAAATGTAAAAATCTTGGTTTTTTTTTTTTAAAGGATACAATCAGTGAAATCAATACATCAAAATTTTGGAATAATAAAATTCCATTAATAGGTACATCAAATATTTAAAGAAACTTATTTTCTTGTTAATCCTGAATTAGAAGATTTCTTGGTATGCATCATTTCTTGATTTCTTGGTTATCTTTCAAATGAGTACTTTATTATGTTCGAATTAATTTAGAGGTATTTGTTAATGTAATTATATTTTGAGCAACACTTTCCCTACCGATTTATGGCTGACTCACTGACCTCCGCTCGTTGTTGGAGAAGCTGTAGGGACCACAAGCCGAGGGTCGTTTTGCTGCCCTTCTTCTCTCACGTCGTCGGCTTCTCTCTCTCTCTTTCTCTCCTCTCCTCCTTTTCCTCCTCGTCCTTCCTCTCTCCTTCACCGACAACGCGGCGTCGCCGCTCAGACCAAACCATTCCCATCCGACATCAATCATGGGCACAGTCTACCGGTAGAACAACTCGTTTCTCTTCCCCCCCCTGTGAATCAATCGCGTGGCTGTTTAGAGTGTGGGGCTGACGGTGTGCGACATCGTTGATAGGTGCGCGGGATGCGGGGCAGATCTGAATCTGAGCGCGGCGCACCTCTACCCGGCGGACGCCCACTTCGAGGCCGGCAACAAGGGCACCTTCTCCTTCTCCTGGGTGGACGACGCCCGGCTCCAGTTCGCCAAGGAGGACCGGATCAAGCCCTTCTTCGAGACCCCCAACTACTGGGGCATCCAGCGCAAACGCACCCGCCTCCTCTGCGACACGTGCGGCCACCTCCTCGGATACGTCTACGACGACGGGCCTCCCGCGATGCGCGGCCACGGCCAGTTTGGGTTCGGCCATGGCCACACCGTCTCTCGCGCCCCCAGGTACCGATTCAAGATCAAGGCCCTCAACATCTCCTACTGTTGAAATGATGATCACAGGTCCGCGTCGAGAACCTATCGATGCATGATTTTGGTGATTTAGATCAGGAATTGGTTACTCGGGTGCTCGATTGTGCGCTTCGGGTGTCCATCGGATACAGACGGGTAATGCTCACGGCAAAAGGCCGCCCGTCGTCTCCTGTTTGCCTTTTATTTCTAGGTTTGGTCATTATTATAATTCATGGGAAAAAAAAAAGAAAAGAAAAGGCAGACATTACATTGCATAATAATGTCTTCTTCTTCCTCCTTCGAATTCTGTTCTGTGGCTATCTCTTCTTATTTCTAGAGATGTTTCTCATGTACGTCGTTTCTTATAGTAAATTTCCATTATTCTTATATTATGTTTGTAATTAATTATCTTCAGGCCCTAGATAATGGTCATCCTTTTCTTTTAATTTTTCTTGTCTAGAAATCTTTAATTTTGTCGAACTAGGACTTAGTTGGTTTTGTCTAAGTCGTGCGACATCCTTAGTGTCCGTCCACAATGATAAGTCTGTTTACTCGGGATTCATAGACAAGCATTTCAGAAAACACTTTAAACGTAGAAAGTAAATAAGACTACTAAACTTACTGCTGCCAATCTTTTACCGTGCAAATCATGAACAAACCAAAAATTACATACATACATAATAATTATATCGAATATCTTATTTATAATTTTATCCGTATGGTAAATAAAATCTTAACACTTACAACTTCAATGTGTACCTGATTTGGTGTATCCATATTTGTTTTATTAACTGAGGTTTTTATGGATCTCTTGGTGGATGATTAGTTCCAAGTGCACAATAAACAGCATTACGAACGGAGCTGCGTTGACTAAGTCCAGTAGACCGTCTGAGAAACCTAACTGAATCAAACCCTCAGTGATATTAAAACTAATTAACAAATGTAATAATCAGTCTCATTTAAACATTATATTATGTTGATTGCAACATTCGACATGTTATCAAATAATCAATTCAATCTGCTTAAATATTTAACGAAATAAATCAGCATGCCATATCAATTCAATCTACTTAAAAATAACGATAAAATATCATAAAATCCATCTAACATGATTTCATGTTTATTTTCAAAATATGAAAATAAATAAAATCTCAAACTAAATACAACATTTAATCTAAGCATATAAAAAAAACATAAATTAAATTAAAAAATTTTATTTTTTTAGGAAAGATAACAAAATGATAATCCTCGTTTCTCTTATCGTGTAAGGCTCGATGAAGAACGAGGAGTCTTTTTTTATATAACTTTCCATCACAGAAAAAAAAAATTCTTACATAAAAACCGATCCTATATTGTGTATGTATGGATTGTCATGATGTTATTTATGTACTTTAGGAGAAAACCAACATCATCACGAATTTACGAGTATTATATTATTTATGAGTATTGTATTATTTATAAGTATTGTATTGTTGATACGAGCAAGTACATGTCGGAATTGAGTTGTGTTGAACTCACGCCCAAAAGGGCCTGTCGGAATTATATTATTTCTTGTTAGAATACATTTACAAAAGCTGGGATTAGTATTAGATGAAATACTTGGGACTATGAGGATTACCTTTGTAACGAAGACAACCTTAGTGGAGATCTATATTTCACAGCCTTGCTCCTTTCTATTTCATTTTTTATTTGCTCCCTACTTTCCAAACTGATAACCCAAAATACTCAAATTGGTAATGATAGAAGACAAATTACCAGTGAAATGATCAAAATATAAGCAGAACTAAGTTATGCTTAGAAAATGGTTAAAACATGTAAGAGTTTTTGATAGTGGTGGAATTGGAGAATAAATTGTGGCTTCTTTTTTTTGCTTCTTTCTTCTTATTTTCTAAAGAATATATCATTAGATTTCTATGGAGAGATTATATGCAAAAAAAAAAAAAAATTCAGATAAAGAACCAAAAGAATGAAGGGATAGAAATAGTGGCCTTTACATAACGAGCTACGCATCAATGCGGATCAAAAGACAAGTGAAGTTATAGAGAATGGTCATCTTAAGTCACTCTAAAGTGTTAATTCAAAATATCTTATTTGTATATGATATGTTTATTCAAAATGAAAACATATATAAAGTGTTTGATGCATTCTAAAAAAATCATATGTATATAAGATATACACCTAAGTTAAGAAAAGAAAGTAATTTAATTATTTTAAATAAAAATAATAATATTATTAATTAATTTATAATCATTATCAATAGTAAAGATCTACCGTATCAACACATCGGATATATGATATATTCTCTTGTCAGACCAACCAATGATTACCTTTTTTTTTTCTTCTTCTAAACTTAGTAAACAAATACTTGAAGAATTTTAACACTTAATACATAATAATTTGACGATCAAAGAGGCTTTGTCGAATAAATTTTTACTATAATCTTTTATAGAAAATAAGATATGAAATACTAATATCCTCTATCGAAAAAAAATTTTCATCATCAAAATTTCAAATACAATTTTAGACTCGTATTATGGAAATAGGAGGCTTTATCAGAAACAAAAAATCGTGTCGATTAGATCTCCGATAATATTATTGGTTGGTATATAATCTCGATCGAATAGCACTGCAATACGCCATCAAGAAGAAGAACCGGCCGGGGTATGGGGTTGACCGGTCATGCAAAATAGCATGGGTCGGAAAATAGTAGCCAAACCGGGTCCAAATTGAATCAAATGGGGGAAGCGGACGCCGACGCGAGGTATACTCCTCCCGGCGCGGTCATAGGTAATAAACCAAACGCCGACTCCACGCCCTCCGCATTCCTGCGATCCTCCTCCTCTTCCCTGGCGGATAAGATCATCTCTGCCCGATCTCTCTCTCTCTCTCGCTCGGTCGCTCTCACAGGCGCTCTCGTCCCGCAAAATTAGGGTTAGGGTTTCGGCCCCGCCTTCCCTTCTCTTTCCCCGTCCTATGAGGCGAATCGCTCCTTCGCATTGACCTCCGCTTCGAGTTCATCATCGATGGCGACCGCCGCGCCCCCGCCCTACCCCGACGATCCCGCCGTCTGGTACGGAAGCATCCAGTACCTCCTCAACATCTCCGCCGCTGGCGCCGCCTCTTGCCTCCTCCTCTTCCTTCTCGTCAAGCTTCGGTCTGACCACCGCCGCTCCCCCGGCCTCTCCGCCCTAGCCTCCAAGCTCCTCGCCGTCTACCACGCCACCACCGCCCAGATCGCCCTCCATTGCGGCGCCGATGCTGCTCAATTCCTGCTCATCGAACGCGCTAGCTTCGCCATCCTCCTCGCTGTCGCTCTCGTTGCCCTCTGCGCTGGGCTGCCACTCAATCTCTGGGCCGGATCGGCGCCCCTCGCTGATCAGTTTGCTCGCACCACCATCTCCCACATCCGGCCAGGCTCGCCGCTGCTCTGGCTCCCCTTCCTTCTTGCGGCAATCGTGGTCGCCATTGCCCACGTTGGGATCTCTCGGATGGAAGATGACCTCAGGATCACTCGATTCCGTGACGGGAACCGGCACCCTAGCGACCCCAATTCGGGATCGGTCTCGATGTTCACCGTCATGGTGCAGGGGATCCCCAAAAGCCTAGCTGCCAATAAAGCCCAGCTGGAGGAGTACTTTCAGCACCGCTATCCAGGGAAGGTCTACCGGGTGATCGTGCCTTTCGATTTGTGCACCCTGGAATATCTTGCTGCGAAGTGGACGAAGGTCCAGAATGAGATCTCTTCCTTGGAAGCTCGTATTGGAACCCCAAGCCTGTCCGATGATGACCTATACGGTAGCCAGCTTAATCAGCATCAACTATGGAGGAGAGCCAAAGAGGCGTGGGCAATGATTGTTGTAAAGTTGGGCCTTACAAAGGAAGAGAGGCTGAAGAAATTGCACGATCTGAGGTCGGTGTTGCAAACCAAACTCTTAGATTACAAGGAAGGGCGGGCACCGGGTGCTGGAATTGCATTCATTGTTTTTAAGGATGTTTACACCACCAACAAGGCTGTGAGGGATTTAAGAACCGAGAGAAAGAGGAGACCTACTGGGCAGTTCTTCCCTGTGATGGAACTCCAACTCGGACGGAACCGATGGAGGGTAGAGAGGGCCCCGCCTGCAGTCGATATATATTGGAATCATTTGGGTTTGAGCAAGGTTTCACTGAGAATGCGTAAGATAGCTGTGAATGGTTGCCTTCTTTTGATGCTTCTCTTCTGCAGTTCACCTCTTGCAGTGATTAATGCAATGAAGAGTGCTGCAAGGATTATCAATGCTGAGGCTGTGGACAATGCTCAGTTGTGGTTAACTTGGTTTGAAGGCTCGAGCTGGCTTGGGGCTGTTATCCTTCAGTTCTTGCCTAATGTCCTTATATTTGTGAGCATGTACATAATAATGCCATCTGCCCTGTCCTACCTTTCCAAGTTTGAATGCCATCTTACTGTTTCTAGGGAGCAAAGAGCTGCATTGCTTAAAATGGTTTGCTTCTTTTTGGTAAATCTCATTCTTCTGCGTGCAATGGTTGAGTCGTCTCTGGAGGGTGCAATACTTGGTATGGGGAAATGTTACTTGGATGGAGAAGATTGCAGGCGTATCGAGCAGTACATGAGTGCATCATTCCTTACAAGGTCATGCCTCTCCTCTCTCGCTTTTCTGATTACAAGCACTTTTCTGGGGATATCCTTTGATCTCTTGGCTCCAGTACCCTGGATAAAGAACATACTGAAGAAATTTCGGAAAAATGACATGGTTCAGCTAGTTCCTGAGGAAAATGATGGCTACCCACTTGAAGAGAATGACGAAGAAAACTATCTAAGGATGCCTCTTGTGTCAGAGAGAGAGGACACTTATGGTTCAAATGGGGTTGAGGAACATGATCTTTCTGTGTACCCTGTGAATAGGAGCTTCCATGTCCCAAAGCAGACATTTGACTTTGCACAGTACTATGCTTTCAACCTGACAATCTTTGCGCTGACCATGATCTATTCTTTGTTTGCCCCGCTTGTGGTTCCTGTTGGTGCTGTCTACTTTGGTTACCGCTATGTGGTGGACAAGTACAACTTCTTGTTTGTGTACAGAGCTCGAGGCTTTCCAGCTGGTAATGATGGGAAGCTGATGGACCGGGTATTGTGCATTATGCATTTCTGTGTGGTCTTGTTTCTTCTGTCGATGTTACTATTCTTCACAGTTCAGGGGGACTCTACAAAGCTGCAGGCTATTTTCATTCTTGGGTTGTTATTATGCTATAAAATGCTCCCTTCCAGAATTGATGGATTTCAACCATCTTTATTAGAAGGAATGCAGAACATCGATAGCTTTGTAGATGGGAAAACTGACTATGAGGTTTTCTCAAACCTTGAATTTAATTGAATGTATATCAATCTTGATAGATTCTGAAATTTCATACCAGCTTGTGATTATTCAAATCATGATTGTTATTTTTTTTTCTTTTATTGATTTAGCATTCTTTCGCACTATCAGCATTTAAATACTTTATAGGTCTGTAAAATTGCGAAAAAATTGTCATTTCCTTATTGAACTCTAAATATGATCCGAAGTTTTACAACTGCACATTATGCAACTCACCAAACTTATATTTTGTTTGTGGCTCACTTGGTGGTTTCATGACTTTGTGACATTTCATCTTTCTCAGCTATGAGGTCGATGGACTATCTTTTAATTTAATTCTGTAAGTAGGATCTTTTTGGCTTCTCAAAGTAGACAATTTTGTTGTGAACTACTCACTATCATTCTCATGAAGTTTGCACTCAATATGATCTCTTCTGCTTTCCATTTGTGATTCCTCATATGCATATTAATCTGGTTGCTGAAATATGAATCACAAAGCACACTTTATTCAATAAGAGTTGCAATGTGTTTACAGTATTTCTTACGAACTTATAACTTCCTCTTCATCTCTTGCTTCTTTTTCTCATTATGTTACATGCAAACGGTGCAAATTCAATTATTAATATTGTCTATATGCAAAGATACAAGTAAATACAGGATTGTGCAAAGCTTGCATTTCTTATTCCTACATTTTTCTTTGTATGAAGCCGCATGCGGCTTATTCCATACAAAATCAGCACTCAATTGTTTATATTGTTCAGTGGTTGGTTTCAACATGTAGCTGCATCCTTGGTGGCTAAAAAACACTTGGTTTAATGCTGCATGCTTGGTTGATTGCACTAGCATAGTTGTACCTGTGGTTGGACTCCAAAACTTCCCTCTTGTTTTCCCATCAAACAGTGAAACAATAATCAAGTTGTACTGGTAAATTTGGTCCTGTCCTACCAGTTAAATGTACCAGGGTGTTTAAATTTTGTGGTATTTGCAGCGATAGCAGTGAGTCTCCTCACAATTGTAGTGTTAAATCTTTTAAGGCGGCTTGATCTTGTTGGAATTAGAACCACTTGTTTGCTGAGGTTATGTGCTGGCATTTAAAACTTGCGGATCCGTAAGCAGAAAAGATCCTTCCAACTGCTAGAGTTAGTAGGTAAAGCTTTTAAGTTGTGCTTACTGTGTTTTAGCATGGTGTTTTCAAAGATCAGTTATTACTTGGACCTAATTTTCTTGGTCTTGTTATTTTACTTTCTGGTTTGCTGTCTGGACCTGAGAAGGTGATAAGGAAGCTGCCAGAATTGTAGATTCAATCACCCTAAATATGAGGACAAAACAATCTGTCATGAAGGCAAACTGGAGATAGAAAAAGAAAATGTCAATTGCAGATTCGATGTTCCAACCACCTGATTCACTGTATGGTATTTCTGAATCTTTATTATTATCGTTATTTTTATTCTGCAAATAGTCCTTCAAGTTAAGGATGTAAATCGATAAATCATGTCGTATTTACAGGTTTAAGCTGTAAATGAAGAATTTGAAGGACGAGATAGCTCTCATAGCTAAAGCTAAACTTTGGCGACACAGAGATGTTTCCTCATTAGTGACGAGTTGTTTTGTCCCCAAGGACAGTCATGAAAAGTGCATTTGTGTTGCTTGTGAGATAGTGTCGGGAAGGTGTGGCTTATAATGGTGACATATCTGGATCGAATTGAACCGATACCGTATACTTTACCCATCTTCTGATAATTAAAGCTCTGAAACTGCTTTCAGAATTTTCAGCCATTACCAAACCTTTAGTCTCACGATGTACTCATTACACTGGAACAATAAACCGATGCTGCTTGTGCATTTGCTTGTAGGCCTGATTGGTTTTCTTTCTTTGACATCACTTCTATTACATAATCCAACTTTACATTGATTTGATATGTGATGATTGTAATTTTGAAAACCATGTATCTCACGCCTAGATTGTTATATGTTGACACAACAGGAAGTTGCTCCATTACACATTGCATGATCATCATCGATTAGAAGTTGTAGAAAAGCTTTTCAGTAATATTTTATGATGTTTTGCTTTACGTGTACAAAGGGTTTCTCTCAATTTATTTATGCATCGAAAAGGAATTGTTTTAGCTAGGCCAGGAGAAGGCTGGGCCTGGACCGGGCTAAACCGGGTTCTTTTTTATGGTGCAGGGTTACTATATACCAAGTTGGGCCGGCCTGGGCCTGGACCGTCCATTCTTTCACATCACCAGGACACACCATAAAGACCGCATCTCTTCGGCTGCTGCCTCGTTTGCTTCTGCCACGCTTCAGAACCGTTGTCATGTGGCGTTCAGAGCAAGGCAACCACCATGGAAGCACTAACAACAGGGTGGCGTCCTCCTCCTCTTCCTCCTCATCGTCATCAAGATCCTCACCTTCGTCGACCACCTCCAGTCTCCTCCCACAGGCACCAAAGAGGAGGACCATGGAGGAGGTTTGGAAGGACATCGGCCTCCGCAGCCTCCACCACCAGGAGAGGCTCCTCACACCTCTGAACCACCAGCGCCACTCTCCCACCGCCTCACCCTCCTTCAGGGCCATCATCCTTCAGGACTTCCTTGCAGGGCCCTTGAATAGGCCTCATGCCGCCGCCAAGAACTCGCCGCTGCCGCCCTCCACCATGCCCCCTACCGCCCTCAGCTTGAGCCCTCGTCTGGAAATCCAGCTCATGGGGTCCGATGCCCATGGCAACTCCAACTCCAGCTCCAACGGCTGCCGCGCCTCCTTCATCTCCCCTGCTTTCTCCGACAACATGGTCCGCCCGCCCTCGCCCATCGGCCTCTTCTCCTTCTGCTCCAAGGAGGCGATGTCGGAGGACCCCGCTGCTTGCGGCGACCTCCGGCACAAGCGCATGATCAAGAACCGGGAGTCCGCTGCCCGATCGCGCGCCAGGAAACAGGCATCTCCACCAATCCTTCTCTCCGTTTGCTTTAAATGTCTTGGCTGCTGGCTTCTCACTGTACCACGAGCTTTCCAACTTGATCACAGGCTTATATCAATGAACTGGAGCTGGAGGTTGCTCGACTGTTGGAGGAGCAATCCAGGCTACAGAAAGAACTCGAGGAGGTGATACATATATAAATA